GTTGTAGTGGAGGACAACGGGCAGCCCTCCCGTTCAGCTACAGTGAATGTGAACGTGGCGGTGGCGGACAGCTTCCCTGAAGTGCTCTCGGAATTCGGTGACTTCTCACAGGACAAGGATTACAACGACAACCTGACTTTTTATTTAGTGTTGACCTTGGCTGTAGTTTCCTTTCTTTTTATTATTTCTATCATAGTTCTGTTATCAGTGAAGGTCTATCGATGGAGACAATCTCGTTTGTTTTATGCATCCAAAGGGAATCTCCCCGTTATTCCAAGCGCATATTATCCTCCCCGTTACGCAGACGTTGGTGCTACAGGAACTCTGCAGCACGTGTACAATTACGAAGTATGTTTGACAACAGACTCTGGGAAAAGTGAGTACAGATACATCCGACCAAGCAGTCAAAATCTTCTTAACGCTGATGCCAGCGGGTCAGCGACTCTGCCTCATGTGCAGAAGGAGAAGAATCTAATAGATGACACAGATTCAGCAGAGGTGAGTTAACCTGAAAGATTATTCAGAAAAGCGTGCAATTTCAGCAATTAATTTAATTGATAAAAAATATGTTAGAGTATGTTTGTATTGTTGATGTTATTCCATACGACAAGACAGCTTATTAGTTAGCGTTCTTGCATTTCCCTTCTTGAGTTCGATTCCTGAGTTATGCGCCTGACGTGTTTGTCTCCTCTGTGTCCTAAGGTGTTTTCTCTGGGGGCACTGGTTTCCTGCCACATTCCAAAGACATTTCGTGAAGGCTAATTGGCGTCTCCAAATTTTACCAGACTCCGACTGTATGTGTCTGTGTGTCCTGCTATGGTCTTGCTTCCCAGTTTGACTGTGGTTCTGCAATGAATCGCACGTCTGCAGGATAGAATCACGGCCAAAGTAGCGGCTTTCTCATGAGGGCTTGTTACCTCTTAGACGATTATTTTTTTCAGTCATTGTTATATTTGCGTGTTGGGTTTTTTTTTTTGTTAAAGTCTTTTGAATTTAAATGCGCTTTAAAGTAGTTTGCAGAATAACAGATTTATGAATTTCGGATATCATGACACCTGTATTTTCTAATACGGTTATCCGCTAGTGGTGTAAAATGCAGTATATGTTTTTATCTCTGAGTGCCGCTGTTATTGGAGATTTGGAGATACTGGGCGTGTAAGAATCCATTAGTCCCGCCCATATATTTCATTTGTTTAACACATACAGTGAGCAGTTCGCATTGTGCACTGCTGGGTTAACGCAGAAACTGGGATTCAGGAATATTTGGCGTTTATTGCCTGCATTTCTTTCAATTGCACAAACGAATTGGCAGAAAACATATTTGCTTATTTGTTTTCAATTAAACAATGGAATGTCGCATTTTTAGGTATTCTTTGTCTGTTTACTTCCTAATTAGGTGGTCTGTGGTCAGGTTCGGTACTCGATCCCAGAGTAAATGGTAAAGGGCCCCTTTTTGGGTAATGTCGCACATGATTTGGGTTTAGATTTTAAAAGACTGACCTTTCGAAAGGCTCGCATTTTTGCTGCTGGCAGCATAGAGTTCATGGGGCTGAACACGAATAAAGACACGCTGGTTATTAAAGAAAGGATAGACAGGGAGCAGTTATCTGGATAAATATCTCCGTGCAGTTTAAGTTTCCAAATCGTTCTTGAGAATCCAACGGAGTTGCTTTGAATTACAATTGAAATGTTGGATATTAACGAAAATACTCCAAAATAATGCCGAAAATACTTTCCTAAAAAAGAAATCGAATTAGAAATCAGCGAGTCCTCTGCGCCAGGAGCGCGCTTTATTTTAGACAGCGCAGTAGAATCCGATGTGGGTGTTAATACAGTCCAAACGCTCGCTTAAACCTACCGAAAATGTCATTTCCAAATTACACTCACATTCTGACGGCAGTATGTGGAGATGATTCTCCAAACAGGTTTCGAAAGAGAAAAACACGAAGAGATTGATTTATTATCAACTGCTTTAGATGGCGGAACTCCTCAGAGATCCGGCACTATGAAAATACATTGTGATGTAGTGGATGCAAATGACAATGCACCAAGCAGTTTATAAAGCCAGTATTTTAGAAAACTCACCTAAAGGGACATTTGTAACCATGGTAAACGCAACAGACTCTCGGAATTCACTGACTTATTTTGTTAGTGAAGTTGAACAGATGGAGGCAAACTCGTTTATTATATGATTCCAAAGGGAATCTCCCTGTTATTCCAAGCGCATATTATCCTCCTCGTTACGCGGATATTAGTGCAACCAGAACTCTGCAGCACATGTACAATTATGAGGTGTGTCTGACAACTGACTCCGGGAAAAGTGAATACAGGTACATCCGATCCCTTAGTCAAAATCTTATGAACGTTGACGCCACTGGCACAAAGACATAGTGCGGACGGTGCAGAAAGAGACCACCTGATCTGAAAGCTCAGATCTATCGGCAGAGACTGGGTTCCATGATTCTCTTTGGAGATAAAATTCGAGTTTCTTTTCGATCTACAGGTTGTGAATTAGTAAAAGTAATTTTGTCAGCCTGGTTTGTGAAATGATTGTGGTCTGGTACAAGCCTTTATTTTGCAGCTTGAAGTAGCTTTTTTTAAATTCCATGAATCTTAAAATTGTAGTCGTCCAAACAAGATACCGTATAAACAACAAAGTTTAATTGAAAGTATGCACCCGTAAAACTCCACAGAACAAATATCATATGTACAGTACAACTTGATTATTCGTAATGCATGCCGTGAGGGTCCTGAAAAAAAACAAATGTTAACAATGGGTTCAGGGTCGAATGAAGCATTTAGCATTGTAAATTACTTTTAACGCAGTTATTTATAGGACCTTTAAATAAGGTCCTTTAAAGGCCTTTTACAACAATTGTTTAATCACAGTTTTCAGCTGACAGGAGCTCATGTACTGTGTGCATGTTAGCGTTTCAGTTGCTCTTTTATTTGATTATTATTGTGTTTAAAATATCGACAATTCCACAAATCAGCAACAACACTTTCCCTGTGATAGACATTATTATTGATGAAATGCCGGGTTTTCTGCAGACCACACCCTGCTTTCTTCAATGTGTTTATTCATTTTTATTACACCTCCTCTCTTCTTGTCACATGACTTAATGATTATGATGATGTTAATAGTAACGACGGGAATGGTTTATATTATTTTCAGTAGTAATAGCTACTGGAGCTTCAATAGTAAAAGTAGTAAATACAACAACGATGAGAATTTTAAAAAACATTGAACTATAAGAGCTACTGATATGAATAAAACAACAGTCAAAATCTGCACAAATCACCTTTACGTTTCATAAAGTACAGCATGCAATACCATTACAAGGGCTCTTAACACTGTAACTACAAGAAAATGTTTTTGTAGTTCTGTATTTGAACTCAAAGTGCCGCTGTTGATCAGTGGGAGGGAGGTCTAGGCTATGATTTGAGATTCCACATAACCTCCCCGTGTTTTTGTACTGTGGGACACAGACTGTAAAGACTGCTGGCTCTTTACACGATGCTTGGATTACAGAAAAAAAACACTACATGAACGCTGATCATGTTATGTGGTATGCTTCATTCTGTTTTGAGAACAGCATTATCGATTGAATAATATAACATTTTCATAATTGGAGGACAGCATGGGCTATGTTTATTTTGAAATTTCAAGACGAAAGTCGGAGAGGACAATGAAATGGCAAGTATGGTTCGGCGTTTTTTTCATATGTGGCTTTAAAACCGTTTGTAGTCACGTTTCGTATTCAATACCCGAGGAGATGACGAAGGGATCTTTTGTAGGGGATATTATGAAGGATCTGGGGTTAGATGTTAAAAGACTGATATCTGGAAGAGCTCGGATTTTCACCGGAGACAATAACGAGTACATTGAACTAAAGGTGGATAAAGGCGTATTGGTTGTTAAGGAAAGGATAGACAGAGAGCTGCTGTGCGGGAGGAGATCGCCATGTAATTTACATTTCCAGATTATTTTAGAAAATCCAATGGAGTTATACAGCATTGTTGTAAAAATATTAGATATTAATGATAATGCTCCTGCATTCCCCACTGATGAGATTAGATTAGAAATAAACGAGCTGGCTGTCCCAGGAGCAAGGTTTTTGCTAGAGAGCGCGGTGGATCCTGATGTGGGTGTTAATACACTGCAAAACTATATTCTTAAACCCACCGATAATTTCGTTTTACAATTACATTCACAGCCGGATGTCAGCAAAAGCGTTGAAATGATGCTACAGAAACCGTTAGATCGAGAAAAACAAGAGGAGATGTCTTTAATATTAACCGCTGTAGATGGCGGCGACCCGCAGATGTCTGGCACTGTGAAAATACACATTACTGTAACAGACGCCAATGACAACGCTCCTGTATTTAGTCAGGCTCTTTATAAAGCCGTGGTTGTAGAAAATGCACCAGAAGGAACATTAGTCACAACAGTGAGTGCCTATGATGCAGACAAAGGATCTAACGGGCTTCTTACGTACGCTATATCACATCTTACTGATGAGATTGGCAACATGTTTCAGTTAGACCCGCATACTGGAGAATTAAAGGTTAAAGGAAGAATAGATTATGAAAAAACTCAGCATCATCAAATAAATATTCAAGCTAAAGACGAAGGCAATCTTGTGGATTCCAGTAAAATAGTTATCGAAGTAACAGATGTTAATGATAACACTCCAGTTATAAATCTCGTGTCACTCTCAAGCTCTATACCCGAAAATGTGCCAACTGACACCGTTATTGCTATGATTAATGTTCAGGATCAAGACTCGGGCAACAACGGGATTGTTCATTGCACTGTCAACGAAAATGTCCCGTTTAAAATCGTATCATCTTCAAATCATTTCTATAAACTAGTCACTGATAACGTTCTGGACCGAGAAACTGTCCCTCAGTATAATATAACAATTACTGCTACTGATAGCGGAGTAGCTTCCCTATCAAGCAACATTACAATACATTTGCAAATATCAGATGTAAACGATAATGCTCCCTTTTTTGAAATGAATTCATTTTTTGCAAACATAATGGAAAACAACATTCCTGGCATCTCAATATTAACATTGAAAGCCAAGGACGATGACTGGAACCAGAATGCTCGTATTTCTTATATTCTTGATGAAACAAATATTAAGGGAGAACCTGTTTCGTCATATATATCCGTAAACTCTAATACTGGGATTGTCCATGCAGTGCGATCTTTTGACTTTGAGCAGATTAAGGATTTCCAAATTTGCGTTAAAGCTCAAGATGCGGGTTCGCCTCCACTTAGTAGTAATGTGACTGTAAAAATTTCCATACAAGACCAGAACGACAACTCTCCACAGGTCCTCTATCCAGTGCACACTGATGGCTCTCTGGTGGCTGAAATGGTGCCTCGTTCAGCAGATGTTGGCTATCTTGTCACTAAAGTTGTAGCTGTTGATGCTGACTCTGGGCAGAACGCCTGGCTCTC